AAACTGCTGTTTTTTTATGTAAGTTATGGCAAAAAATGAGGAAAAGTTATAGTGAAAAAGATTCTATCTACCATTCCAATAGCCAAAGTTAGTCCCTCCTTCAAACATGTACCTGAGAAGCAAGAAAGGACAAGAGAACAAGTTCAATGAAATCTTGTGACTTTCTGTACACATGCAGTAATTATGGCTCATTTATCTTGTGTTTTATTTGTGTTTCTCTTGTCTTTCTCATNAGACTCACTGTCTCTGTAGCACTAGTCTCTTCTCTGTTGTTGCCCTCAGGCACCATACCTGTTTCATCTCTTCAAACGTCAGAGGATACTCAGATCGGACTGGACCCAGAGGAGAGATAGTGTCCAACAAACTGCTAATGTTTCCAACCTATAAAAAGTCATCTGTATTAGCCATGTTTAAAACATAACCAGCTTTCTGAAATGGTTCTACCTTTTTCAGCATGACAAAACCGTAGGCAAATTTCGGAGTTGCCGGTGGCATGGGTCCAGAGGGAACTTCTCTAAACTAGTTAGAAAATACATTAAATTATCAGTCGTGCTCAATCAGGACATTATTTTCAGTCACTCAGTCAGTTGTACCTGCTTTATGACATCTCTGATGGCCAACAGCTTGTCTGTGGGATCTCCTGCTTCGGTCAGCGGGGCGTCGTAATCATAACTTGTTACCACTGAGCGGAACCTAGTGTCATGATCTGCACCTTTAGAAGAGGAGTGAAGAAATATGAAAAACAAACTGCTGTTTTTTTATGTAAGTTATGGCAAAAAATGAGGAAAAGTTATAGTGAAAAAGATTCTATCTACCATTCCAATAGCCAAAGTTAGTCCCTCCTTCAAACATGTACCTGAGAAGCAAGAAAGGACAAGAGAACAAGTTCAATGAAATCTTGTGACTTTCTGTCTACATGCAGTAATTATGGCTCATTTATCTTGTGTTTTATTTGTGTTTTTCTTGTCTTTCTCATTAAGTGTCCTTAAAATCCAACATTTATCTCATTAACCAGTGATGGTTAAGTTACCATAGCCTTTAAATAAAATAACATATCCCTAACAGACCATGGATGTAGCCACCTGCAACTAAAAATAGTCTCTAACCTGCTCATCTTTCTGCTACATTTTCAAATGTTTMAAGACAGTGCCTTTAGCAAAAATCCTAATCCTGGGACTGGGCATTGTTATCACTTTCTGGACCCTGGATCTGCAGAATAATCAGATATGTAGAGTGAGGATAACAGCATGGAAGCTTGAGGGTTCAGGGAGACATACATGTTGACGTTGGCCCCCATGGTTAGCATTTCTCCTAGAACTCTGCTGACCTTCTGAGCGTCAACCACAGCATGCTGATCTTCCCAGTGGTCCAACCAGCCTGTGTAGAACTCTGAGTTTACCTGAAACACCATTCAAACCATGTTCCATTTACCACCAGTGYGTGTGCATTTGAATGATGGATCGACGTGCAACAAACCAGAGGTCCTTGGGGTTCAAATCGTCTCTGGCGTTTGAAGGCATCAGATATGTTGGTATCTGAGAAAAAAGAATTATCATTGCTAATATCAAGAACATATGAAGACATTGTCACATAAGACCAACCTGTGCCAAAGTCCACCGTGGCGTATAATCCGTCCAGAGTCCCACATGTCATTTCCTTGTCTGTGTTTCCATCAGTGGTGAAAAGGACGACATCCTCTCCCAGAAAGAAGCGGAACATCGTTCGTAGGTGACGCATGTAGTTGAAGTCACAAGCGTAGTAGCTACCATATTCATTCTCAACCTGACGTTAGGACAATGCATTAAAACCAGTAATCTTTGTTTAAATGATCATAGGCATTCCCTCATTCTTTTACCTGGACAGTGATGATGTTACCCCCATTGGTATAGAGCCAAGGTTTGATTTTAGGGAGGAGGACAGCAAGCCAGTTATCAACTGCGTCCAGGTAATCTGGAACAGTAAAAATGAAGATGAATGCAAATGAGAAACACACAAACAAAAAGACACAAGTGTAGTAAATACCTGTGTCTGCTGAGCGAAGAATGATGTTTGGTTTTTGAAGTAACCATGCCGGTAACCCACCCTGGAACATAAATAAAGATGCAAACGGAGACAATATTTGTTATCAGTTTGTTATCACTTCTCTATTGGAATTTATTTAATCAAATAGTTTGCAAMTTTGTTGAAGTTCAAAATACAGTTCACGTAACAAGTGAATTTGTCAGGATTATAAAACGACTTGACTTCATGCATTATGTGCGTGGTCACCGACCAGCAGRCCAAAACATTCATAGAGAACCATTTGTGGTCATGACAAATGCTATAAAACATCATAATTTTAGTATTTCAGCCAAGTTCAATTTTATTTTTTGTCCTATAAAGCAGTGGTTCCCAAACTTTTCAGCTTKTGACCCTCAACACTAAAGGCCTGTGCCCCCAGCTACTTGATATACATTAGTGTCAGGTCAAATAAACAAGGACATAGTAACAATGTTCATTGTGCTACTTTTAGCCATTTTAGTACCAACCTCATTCTTTTGTAACAACTAAGGAAAAAAAATGTTAATAGTCATTTGTAAATGTAATTAATTCTGAAAACATTTTCAACACCCCACTATGGGTCTCAACCCCAACTTCGGGAACCCCTGCTATAAAGTATGCCTTATTGTGCTTTTCACTTTTCCTTCTTTAGACCGTTATGATAGTATTTAAAGTTTTTACCATTTCCCATTCTGCACAGATGTACGGTCCAGGACGCAGGATTACCAGCAGGCCCGTCTGGTTGGCCAACTTCAAAAAGTACTCTAGATCTCTGTCTCCTGTGAAGTTGTASACTCCCTGGGTCGCTTCGTGGAAGTTCCAAGGCACGTACCTGTTTACACCAGTAAGAAGCTCTGTTACAGAATGACAGAACTCAATAAAATGTCTAAATGAGGCTGATTATCACAAGATGCTTACACTTGGATGGCATTGAGTCCAGTCATGTACATCTTCACCAGGCGGTCCTTCCAGTAGTAACGWGGTATTCTGGAGTAATGGATACTTCCTGAGATGTACTGGAAAGGCTTTCCATCTTTCAGAAAATAGTTGTTCTTGTAGTCTATGGAGAAAGATCTTGATGCAGAGACCTGCAAGAAAAAAAAGAAGCTTAGAGGGGAAAATCTGCATTTTGTTTCTTATGTCTACTTTTAAATCGAGAAAAACTCTGATCACTGATTGTTGTAAAACAGAAAACTCTATAGGTGGACAACAAGCTTGCATCTAGAAGAAGCAGAGCTGATCAGCTGACTGGAGTTTGTTTCTTACCAGATTCCCACTGAGATGTGAGGAAAAGGCAAAACTCCCTGCAAAGAGGAATAAAAAAGCAGCAGCAGCCATATCTGCTGCCCCTTTTCAGAAGTTTTCCCTAAAACACAGACATCCTCGACTTCTAATGATTTTTGTTGTGCTTCCAGTTTATCATGCACACATCTGTGTACTGACTGAGGAAGTCCTGCTCGCTTCAGAAGCTCCATCATGTGATTCTGAGTAGTGCAACCTGCAGGGTCCTGATGCCAGTCCTGTTAAAGTCTAATGCAGCTTGTACACCCACCAACTGGGACACAACATTGTAGTTTCACTTTAAATACATTGTCATGAATATAAACTATTAAAAGCACGTCTGTGAATAAATAGCCCAAAGGTCTGCTTTAAAAGTCCTAGTAAATGTTGCTTAGAGTGCCCCCAAGCTTAAAATTTGCTCAATTTGAGATGTATAGTCACATATGAAATAGTGTTTTTTTTTTATTTATTTATAATAGCATAAACACAATTCAGCAGCTTACTCCTATAAGGATATGGCACACTCATTAACACATATTAACAGCAATGATTGAATGTTTTTCCCCCCAAAGTGTTGTTGCTGTAGTGCTCTGCTTTGTGTAGGCTGGAAACAGTTCCTCTTTCTAGAGGTAAAACAACAAAGCAGCCAGTTCAGGAACAGTTTGCTTTATTAGTGTCAGTTTTTGTGTCTTTCTCAACACAAAAAACAAGAGTTTGAATGCATGTTAACTGATGCTATAACAGGCTGAACAAAAGATCAGTTTTTGTGTTTTTCTGTTTGTTTGAAACCTGAAAATTGCTCTAAAAGACATTTGTATTAAAACTTTGAAGTTTGTGCCGTAGTAATAATCCAATATAAGAAKTTATTTGATGTACATATTTGATTTCTGTTCTTTTACCGACACTAGATGGAGCTGCAATACTTTTAAATGACAAAAATATCAGAGCGGTTGCCATGTTAAAAGCTTATTGACTTAATAATTCAAATTTAGCTGCTTTTAGTTGCCCAAGCCCCCCACCCCAACCCATTGTTTTAGGCAAAATTGTTGATTGCTTTCAAGAATGTGGACAATCTCAGTGAAAGATCTAAACTGCTTCTAGGACGCATTTGCTGAGCCAAGTGCACAACTGTGGTTAATAAGAGCTCTTAAGTGGAAGTGCATTGGGTGATGCAGTGATGTCTAATGGGAAGAACAGTTTATCTCTGTCTGACCCATAAACACAAAGCAATTTACCTTGTCATTTGGACCAGTAATGGTTCCATTTGATGACTTCAGAYGTTTTTTTCCTCCCTTTTTATCGCTTCACTTTGTGATAACATTTCAAAACATTTCTTTATTCACTACAGTCTGAAAATGTAAAAGAATTCAATCAGTGCGTTAACTCTGGCTAATGACAAGATCTGAAGTGCAGATAAGATGAGCGTTCTGGATCTGTGGCTCATTARGCCACTGTTCACCGCAGTTTATTGTCCTGGGAATGAGAGCAATGGCATATGCTGGTTTGTAATTTGGTTACGAGCACCCTGGTGCCTGAGGAAAGCTTGTCTGTATCCCATCTTTAAAGCTCTTGAGTTTGTGGAAAATGGATGTTCAAGCCACAAGAAGAAAAAAGATCATAGTGACTAATATACTGAGAGCAATTACAGAGGCGCTACAGTAGAAGTGGAAGAATGACGATGAAATCACAGACCGTATACCATTCACAGAACTTGGAAAAAAACAAAATATATAAACATTCTATATTTAACTTAACCATATAGGTCCAGGTTTTAATAACTAGCAGTGGACATGCAGAGAAACACCCGAGGGTTGGGCCTCCAGTCAGTGAAGTCCTTTCCCCAGAGTCTGTAATTAGATTGGACCCTCCCCTCTGTCCCACCAATCCTCTTTGTTGTCTCTGGTGGAAGCAGGTGTATTCACSCTGCCCACCCCCACCCCCCCACCTTCAACAAGTGCCTTCCAGATAATTTGGAGCAGCTGACGTTGAAGGGGACCTCCACCAGTTTTACTTGTCATGAGGCTCCTGATCAACTCACCTATAGAAGAGTCTTATGAGCAAATTTTTGGAAATGAGCAATTAATATCTTACCTGTTGTAGATAGCTATTTGATCGCAGGGATGCTAAACCCAGAGTAGATTGCTACCATCCTAAAAGATCACAAATCTGAAAATATTCGTAGTAAATCATGCACACACTCTTTTATAAAGAACCACTTCWCAACATTTAAGACTGGAGTGAGTTTTAGGATGGCAGGAATTCACTTTAGTTTGGGAGCTCTTACCCCAGGTTTATACTGCATGSGTCTCCGCTGCACAGGTTTCAAGTCCAATTTACACTACATCCGCTCCGCTCCGGTCCAACAGATGTGCAGGAAGCAGATTGCGCAATAAATTCWGTGATAAGACGGAACGCAAGCAATGTAAATTGGGGGTGAGCGTGCCAACAAGTCACAATATTTTTTTTTCTCCTGAAATCACTAGTTTTTAATCTTTCCCCAGAATCCCACTACAGAAGATCACAACTATTGCTTTAATCAAATTTTGTATGAATCAGTAATAAAAAAATTGCCATAAACAGACAAGAAACCTGATCAAATCAAACACTTGTGGCCTATGTCATGGTGTTTAGATTTTTCTGTTCTTCTCAGTGAATTTTCAATGTATTTTGGGCTGCATGTTTCAATGGTTTGATGCTAAAACATTGACAGGAAGCCAATGAAACATAGCACTCTGATGAGAGCAGCTTTACACATTACAACCACTGAAGGCTCTGGTGTTTTCTCCCAATTTTCTCTTGAAAATAATCTATTATTTCATTTGTTGATCTTCTTTTTTGTCATCACATTACTTTTGTATAAGAAAACAAATTTCTACCATTCTGTGTGTAAAATAGAAAYAGTTCAGGACTTGCTAAAGTGCAGTAGGTTGGATTTGAAACACTATAGAAGGCAATAACCCAAACCCYGAGCAACCTCTGAGTCTTATAGTTGAATCATGTTTTAAGAGACAACCGGGGAATTCCTCCATGAGTCTCCATATCAGTCCTGAGGTCAGGATATAAAGAGGAATGTACCTTCTCTGCTTTCTCAGGCTCTGAACAGTGAGTCACTGCCGGGCACTAATACTGTGGAATCTGAGAGGAATAAGTTCTGAGAAACTAAACAATAAACAAAAAGCAAACCAGCACCATGATAAAAAATCTACTGTTGCATTTCACGGCTTGTTTAAGTCAGATGTTGTCTGCATCTTTGGGATGATTGTCATCATTTAGGCTGTTATAGGAGAACAGAATGCAATGTTATTGTGGGAGCTTTGTAACATGAAGCTTTGTAAACAAACAGGAAGCTGACAGCGTGGGGGGAGCATGGGAAGAGTGGCTCCCTGTCGTCGGTATGCCTTCGGGGTGCGAGTGTGTCTGAAGAAGACTATTTGTGGTGAAATTTCTTGTGACAATCTTGTGGTTGGACTTTAATTCCAATGAACCCTACAGAGGATCATCGCAGCTGATGAAAAGATTTAGTTTTTTGCTAAACGAATCACATGACGAGACAGAACTTTTCAAAAATCCTTCGTTTGGCCCAGTCAGCAGGCCCGACCCCGTCAGTTTACTGTTTATCGGGGTCCCGGCTTAAACAGGGCGACTATTAGTTTATAGTTTACATGCCTCACTGACTTTTGTCATCTCTTGGCCCTTTTGCACAATCATATTTGTCATATTAAAATGCATCAACCGTCCAATGCTTTGATTATCAAAAATCTATTAAATGAATGTTCTGCTGGGACTCAGTGTGAAATGAAATGTTAATTTGGAACATAGAGCGGGGAATAGGTCCAACACACAAAATCACAATCAAGTCYGAAAATAAAATGGATTTTATTGAGTATACAGTATGATGACTGACAAAAACTACTCTGTAATCTCCTGACATTGAAACTGCTCTCCTACAAAAACTAGTTTTTCAAAATTTAGCTTTTGGAAGTGGGCATACTGTGACCTTCACCTTCTTCTCTCGAGTCACAACCTCGACTTATACCATACATTTGCATTCACACAATACGATATTTATTTTTATGTGATGGAGCCTTTTCTATTCAATAAGATTTTTAAAAATAAAACAGTGATTTATCCTTTAGGTAATCAATAAGTTTAGATTGAGACAAAAAATAGATTGAACTACATTCCCAAATATCAACTATTTAATTTTTTTTTACACAACTAAGCTGTGGTTTAACACATATAAGTGTAGGTATGATTTTTTTTAGCTTACCACCACATGTAATGCTTTCTGCCAGCATGGAACCAGTTTCCAGCCTATCTGCAGTTGCTTGCAGTTCATTCTGAGCAGTGGTCCCCAAACTACGGCCCGCGGGCTGGATTCGGCCTGCCTCCCCATTTGGTCCGGCCCCCAGAACAATACCAGAGAGCATTTAGTTTGTTTTTTTTTCATATATGTGTATTTATATTTGATTATAAAGTCGGAATTTTGCAATAAAATGTTCCTTAGTTATGAACTATTTTCATTATTAACTATTATTAACTATTATTATTGTTAACTTACCCCTTCAACTTACTCTGTGAACCAACCCTGCTCTGTAGCAGGATTACTGAACAAATCCTGAGTTTGTCTCACTTGTTAGCTGAGATCTGCACGAGGACAGAGTCAGACAGGACGTGTCCTTTTCTAGAAGAGCCTCTAGATTTTGGAGCTAATACTCTGCAGAAATTTGTGTCAGGAGAGAGATAAGACTGCAATCAGATGTCTTTTTAGAGGAACCTGTTTGAGAATTTTTAGATGTTTTTAATTGCTCAGGTTTCAATCTTTTTCTCAAAGTACAGCTTGTAGTTGTTTCACAGGAAGATTTAGGGACAGAAAAAAGATTTACATTTCTACTCTCTAATGAAGTCATGATCAAAGGTTTAAATTCTCACAGAATATATTAATTTTATTGTATATAGAATTTATTCAGTCTTTTTATTGAAATAAACTGTTAAAATAAAAATTACAGAAGAAAATTGAGCTCTTCAGCTGATCGTCCATCACAGCTCTTCTTGTAAAAAATTAACAGTCGTTCTGATTCACAATGAAAAGTCAAATAAACGTATATTAAATATTGGCAGAGAGAAGATAGAGTAATACACATCACTTTTTTTGGTGAGGGCACAATAATTTTGTGTGTTGAA